GGGAAGCGGATTGAAATATAAACTAACAACGACTTTGCTATTTAGCGAGGCAACTCCATCGAAATCCAGCGGAGATGTTGGCTTTCGTTTAACCGGCGAGTTGGACGTGACTGCCGCTTGGCGGAAACCGGATGATCGAGATACCTTCTTGTTGAAAATCGAGGTAAATATTTTTTTGAATTTTGAAATAATGAAAAGGAATTGAATAATTGAATTTATCGTGTAATATGTCAGTTCATATTTTTATTAATTTATTAATATTTTATCTTTATCTCATTAACTTGTAATGGAATACTGATATCTTTCGCAGTAATAATCGCAAGCTTATGTAACTTTTTTGAAATTTTATACTTTTGAATTAGATATAACATCTGAAAACATGATTATTTTTCGGAATTTTTTTTTTTATGATTTAAATGATTCAATTTTTATGCTTTTTATAAATCATCTTGTTTAAAAATATATTATTTATTACAAAATAAAATGTATTTTAAATTGAAAATAAATAAGTTATAAAAAGATGTCAGTATAAAATTGTGATAACCTTTTTTTGAAAGGTGAAAACATAACATGAATGATATTAAATAAAATATAGAATTATATATTTTTAATCATTTTCATGTTTTCAAAATTATTACTAAAAATAATTTTTAATTTTTAATAATACATTTTTTCATTAATTAAAATATATTAATCTGATAAACAAAATAAATTATTTATATATTTAATTATCTATATATATGAATAATAATAAGATAAATTATATTATAAATTATTTTTCAATCATTTTTTACGAAATGAGTAATTTCTTTGCTTTTATCTCATGTATTTATAAACTTTTTATCTAAAGTGTTATCTTAAATATATGTAAACTTTAAAATATAAATTTTAAGTCTTCAAAATTTTAATCTAGTAGAAAGTAAATATTCAAATAATTCTTTCTTCTTCTAAATAATAAAATTATATAAATAGAGATTTGTCATGATATCAGTGTTATCAGTCGATCGCAACAATACTATCTATTTTAAATGTCAATCGCATAATCACTTTTCAAAAAATATTTGTTGAGCATTAATCATTCAAAATGTTTGCTTTTCTCAATTTCACGCTTTATTCTTTTCCTTTTCATTATCCCAATTTTTATTCAAAATATAATAAACAATTTTTAATATATAATTGCGAAGAGAAAGCTTCAAAAATTATTATTTAAATTATTATCATTTAAAATAATCTCATTACTAATAAAAATAAAACTTTGCCCACAGCTTCATCATCCGCAACTATGGATCAAATCTCGAAGGGCACCGGAACCGGAAGGATTCATCGAACACTCCTCCAGAGTAAACGCCCTAGCAAAGAATCCTCTTTTGTTAGTCTGGAGGAACGGAGAAGTGCAATCGATCTTCATGGACCCCGCAGAAAGTGTCTCTTCGGCAAACTTGAAACGTGGCCTTGCCAGTCTCCTCCAATACAGAGTGTTCGACAACGACGTTGAAGAACGTGACGCTTCTGGTCTCTGTACGGTGATCTATCACTCCCTCGGACCCGAAACAGTGGGAAAACGAAAAACATCCTGCGAACAAAGCACTCTACCATCAAAGAAACGACATCCAAATCCATCGTTCGACGTAAGAGTGTCGAGTAGTCGCAATTCCACGTACGAGCTCACGCAAGACCTGCTTCTGCCCAGCTTGATTCGTGACGAGGAGAGGCACAGGATGGTACTGGCCGCTAGACCGGAAATGGGCACCATAGTTACGTCAGAGAGGACACTCGAACTGTTGCCTGGCACGCTCAACGCGAAAACCGTGCAAGCTGATACCTTGAAGCAGGCTGTTGCTGCTGTGCAACCTGGATGTAGGGAGACGAGTATCGAACTGCAATTAGAGCCATTTGCGTGCCCTGATAGCGGATGTCCGACGGTTAGTTCGAAGAATTTTTCTTTTTTCATTTATTTCAATTATTTTATATTTATTGTGCTTACCTTCTCTTCATCGTTTCGTAATAGTTTAATATAAAATCTGTTGTCTAGTTGCTAAAATCAATAGCGTGACAGAAAAACTGGAAGACTTATAATTATCTTCGTTTAAATCAAAATATTTATTTGTCTACCGTTTCCTCTTCTTTGTTTATTTATAAGAGCAATTATTTATTATCATTTTATCTTATCAAGACAGTATAAAAAATTGAAAAATGGATTTATTATAAATTATAAAAATAATTTAATAGAAATGAAAATTTATTAATTTTCTTAAACATTAAAGATATAAATATAAAATATTTATATAATAGAAAATTTAAAAAAAAGAAGATAATATAAAAACTTAGTTTGGAATAATTATTATTTATCCATTTTTTATATATAATTTCAGATTGAACAAACAATCGATGAGTATCGCAACGCTTTGGAGAACAACGCTTTGGGCACAGGAAAATCCGCCTCTGCATTCCTCAAGTTAGTACCTCTAGTCAAATCAGCTTCTTCAGACGAGCTTTTGAAAATTTTAAAAAGTCCTCGATATCGTCAATTAAAACCACAACTATTGGATATATTTGGTGTGGCCTCAACTGTGGCGAGTCATCAAGCAGCCATGAAGATTCTCAAACAAGATGAAAGAGGCGACGAAACCGAAAGATATCTCTGGGCCCTGTCCTTATCCCCAACACCAGATGCAGATATCGCCAAAAATATTCTAAAACGATCAGAAGAGACTAATCCAAACGATAAAGTAGCAGAAACACTAGCCCTAACTGCAGCAGCGATGGCACGCCATCTAGGATCTCCAGTTGCCATCGAAAAAGCAAGGACCAGCTTAGAAATTGGCCTCGACAGTTGCACAGGAGAAGAATGCAAATTAAAGTTCCTTAGAGCTTTAAGAAATTTAAGAAGCAAGACTGCGATCCCTAAGTTGCTAAAATTTGCAACAAGTGAGGAAAAATCGCTCAGCATTGCTGCTTGGAAAGCTTTAGCGATTCTACCCAAAGATTCAATTACATCTGAGGTGAAGAAAGCAGCCAAACGTGTTTTCTATCAAATAGGGGGACCCAAGAGGGACAGTAGTGCTAGAACTCTGGCCTTAGATATTATTCTCGAAACAGGTCCATCGAAAGAAGACATTAGACACCTTGTGGAATATTTGGCAGGCACAGATCCTGCATACGAGGTCCGCAAGTATCTCAGTCAACGATTGGAACAGCTTTCTGAAAAAGATCCTCAATTAGCCAAGGATTTGAACGAAGTTTTAAGTACAAGTGGAAAAGATATCGTTAATTATAACGTGTTTTCCCAAAAAGGTTTAAGCACAGCATTCACTAGAAGCTTCTTAAGATCACCAGACAGTAATGGATCACTGGTAACCATTCAGGAAATCAACTCAGGATTGATGAAACGTGGAATAGTGGATGTGATTCTCCAAGTCGAGGACCACGAGGAGGCGCTGTTCTCTCTTGGCCTGTTCGCAGGAGGTCTAGGAAGCTTCGTCTCGACGTCTGAGGAAGAAGATATCCAAGACAACGAATCTGCTACAGCAGGAATGGAACTAGACTTCTTGGGAGTTGGTATCAGACCATTCGTTTTCTTCTCTGGTCAAGGGGAACTCATGGGCCACGTTTGGTCTGGTACAGCGTCTGAACGAACCCCAGCCTTCCAAGCCTTGTCTGCAATCCATTATTACAACGAATACATTCCATTGGCCTCAGGAATCGTGGTTGAGATTGACGTTCAGGGTGCGGTTAGCTTTGATTTAGCTGGTCAGATTCAATTGAGTTTATGGTCCAGAAATGCCCAGTCTCTGGTAGATTTGAAGGCTGGAGTGGTGATCCAAGGGGGAACAAAGGTGCGATCTGACTTCGTGCAGAGCATGGCTGAATTCTCCATGACCATGGAGCCCAAATTGGAGTTGGCCACCGATGTAGACTTTTCTGGACCAGTGTCTTTGTGTATGAAACTCAGCCAACCGGAGAACGTGGTTAAGTATCAAGTGTACAAGGTGGAAAGAGTGGCTGGAAGTAGGCATAAGCTGAGGAAGACTAGGAGGATAAGGCTGCATAATCCTGGTAAATCTTATCTGTTGAACAGAAAGAATAACGAAATGTGTTCGAAGATTACTGGTTGAATGAAGACTGTTTGTTAAAGTTTGTCATAAAACTTTATAAAATATACAAAGACGATTGTAAAGGATATCAAATTCTTCTTTCATGTGCATCTAGTGCAATATGCGAGAGAAAGAGAAACGATGTGTTACGTGAAACAAAGATGTAGGCAAGAGATTTTTATTATTGTGTAAGTAAGTATAATTGGTGCATTTACAATTTTCGAGCGAGAGAAATCTTATTATGTGAAAATCAAGTCATTCCAGTGGTTAATTTGTTTCACGATTCAATTTTGATTTAAACTTTTTTTTTTATAGTTACATAACGATTTTATAATTTCAAATATTTTATTTGTTTCTATTTTTACCTTATATTTTTTATTTTTTGATACGATTTAATTATTTAATTTTAAAATAGTTTTTATATTTATTACTTGCAAATAGATATAAATAATATATAAATAGAAAAATTTAATCGATCATAAATAGTTAAAAGTATAATGGTTAAAAATGTTTTTCCTTGTGAATTTTATAATTTATAAAACTAATAAATAAATAATAAATATTTTATTACACAAGAAATATTTTTACTCAGATATAATATAATAAAAATATTATACGTATTTGTTGAAAAATATTATATTCTATATAATCTAATCTAAAATTTAATAAATAAAAAAAGATTTATGTGATATATGAAATTATAATAATTAAATAAAATCGAGCATTAAAATACATTATATATTTTCTACATCAAAATGGAAGTCTCATTTTTTAAATGTAAGAGATATCGAGGATCGTTTCTGCGAGAGGAAAGAAAAAAAACTCAAAATAAATGAAATAAATCGATCCAACGTGTAACATAACAAAAAGAAAAACGCCTCTCTCTCTAAGATTAACTCACACAATCCCGAATCCCACTTCAACGGCAGCCACATTCAGCGACAACCATATCCTCGTACCCATACTGATAAGTCAACGTCCCACTGGCGTCCAGATACAACAGACTAGTAGGCGCCAATCTAGTAGGCACACAGCAAGCCCTCCCAACAGGCTTGCTTCCACCCTGATCGACGCCCTGAAGCGCCCCGTGCACCAACGTCTGCACGATCGCGTGTTTCGTAGGGCTGAGATGGTCACCGAAGGGGTAGAAACACTTTCCAGAGCACTGGTAGGCCTCGTAACCGGGAGGAGCGACGACCCAATCGTCATAAGCGATCAGCGCGAAGTCCACGTACATGGAACGCCTCCTGCACGAGTTCTTCCGCCTTCTTCGAGGCCCGTCGGCCTCCTCCGCCTCTTCGTCTTGGACGGATCTCCGTGGACGCTTCTTCCTCACTTTGGCGTAGCTCAACAGCAAGATTGGCCCGTCACCGCAAGGATGATAGCCAACCCTGCCGTATACCCGAAACCTGACAACACCGCCACCCCTCGTGGCAACCGCCGAGGTCACGTTGAAAGCTCTCCAACTGTCGTCCCTCCTCGATCTGCAGCTCTCGAAGGTGTCCATGTGGTCGAGACGTACTCTGAGGATGGAACCCGCAACACCGAGCAGCTCTGCCACCTCCAACACCTCGTCAGGATCGATAGGAGGCACCGAGAACACGAGAATTTTCGCTCCATCGTTGATCGGACCGGACACGTGGATTGGCTCCAACGCTTTGACTATGTCCACGTCCAACCTGCGATGGTACAGCTCCAGCATGTACTTGGATACGACTCCTCGATACCTTCTGTGACTTTTTTCGCTGGCCCTTCTGTTCGTTTTGTTGGAGAAACGATGGAGGACGGACGGGGACGAGGCTGGAATCGAGAGGTCGAACTGGATCGACGCTTTGGCGTGCACCCTTGGCGTTTGCCAGGAACGAGAGCTTGTTTTCCATAACCCGTAGACGCAGAAGGTTCCCAAGAGGATTAGGAAGAGGTACTGGGAGGGATTCATTAATGGATGGTTTGTTTTTAACGATGGGTTTTTTTTCTAAGAGACTTTTTTCAGAGGTTGGGAGGGAAATATCGGATGATGTAGAACCGGAGTCGATCGGATTTGGCGTTCAACTGAAAATGAATCCTTGATCGGTGGGTGAGGCTGAAGGACCGATTTTAAATAGAAGCCAATGGAAAGGCGGGATTCGAAATTGCCCCTGGAATGTCCTTATCATCGACAGACTGCCACTCGACCTCCGAGTTACACCGAGAGATAAAAATGGATGAAGATGGGTGTAATGGTGTAAGTTGATTCTTCACTATTTATATGATAAATAATAATATAATTTATCGAAAGGAATGTATTTTGAGGTTTTGTTTTGGCCCATAAAAAAAAAAAAAAAAAAAAGAATGACATCGTAACTTTTCCTCTTATATTTTTAAATTGTATAATTTTAAAAGTCAATTTGGAAAAAAAATTATTTCGACTAGATGTATAAATTACATTGATATATTGAATTTAATCGGAAACAAGTGAACGTAATCATTATGTATCGTTGAAATAAATAAAACTATTTCAGGAGCTGGCAATTAAAATGATACATGATATCTCTCTAAACTAGGTTTTTCATGTAAGAGCAAGAGGGAGAGAGAGTGAGAAAGAGAGAGAAATAAAAAAAGAGATAGAGGAACAAGAAACTGTTTCATTCTGTTTCGTGAAAATGAAAGAAAAGAAAAAAAAAAAAAACACTTCTGAAAATTAATTTACTTCCAACAGTGATCAATAAAAAATAGAGAAATATAAATATTTAACTTTTTTGAATGTTCAATTAAAACTATACAACATAATACTCTCAACGTAAGCTAAACATTCCATCAATCACAACAATATGTTCGTCATCGATCATTCTGAATCCCCTCAAAAAAAAAAAAAAAAAAAAAAAAAAAGAATCGAGCACGATCCAAGATTGAGAAAATTCATCACGACGAGCCTGATGAATTCCTCTTCCAAAATCACCTGCACCACCGACATAATTAACCGCGCTACGATTCGATTCCTTGAACCTCGATGGCCGGTCGTTTACGAAAAAGTATCTTTAACGGCCGCTTTCAGCCAGCTCGTTCGACGTCAAAATCCGATGGTTGATCGATTTTTTTTACGGCTGGCCATCATCCAACAAGTTCGGTGGCTGTCGAGGACGACGCTCGCTCCACGAGCGGTCCACTATATTTAAATATAGTCGAAGATCGTCGTAGAGAGGATGGACGAGCGGCTAGTCTTATGTGCGAGCCGCTGATAGCAGCCCGCTCCTCTCGGTGGAGCAGCACCAGCACCAGCAGCAGCAGCAGGGGCGGTAGAGTGACAAGCAAAGTGATCGAGAGGTGAGCTCGAGCAGAACGAAGAGGAGTGGTGTCGATCCTGAGTGGGCTGTGAACAGGCCAGTCTCGTTTCAAGTGTACAACCCGGGCAAAAA